ATAACTCACATAAAATTAATCATCATTTCATATTTGACAGTGTTTCCTATACATTTTTAACAAACAAAATAAGTCTAATTTGTTTTTCTCAGACTTTCAGTGGTCTTGATATTTCAAAAAGACCAAACTTCAGAGTTTTGATTTCAGAAAAAGGTTTGTCAAATATCAAAGGCTTAAAACATTTGTTCAAACAAGATTACAAGTTAAAAGATTTTAAAGGCGGCTTGGTGCCTGTGGCTCAAACGGCTAAGGTGTCAGCTACATACAACTAAGGTGGCAGGTTCGAATCCAGCCCAGGCCCGCCAGACAATAATGACAGCTGCAACCAAAAAAAAAATTAGCCAGGTGTTGTGGTGGGCACCTATAGTCCCAGCTGCTTGGGAGGTAGAGGCAGGAGACTTGCTTGAGCCCAGGAGTTGGAGGCTGCTGTGAGCTGTGACACCATGGCACTCTACCAAGGGCGATAGCTTGAGGCTCTGTCTCAAAAAAAGAAAAAAGATGTTAAAGGCAATACATAGTTAACTGGATCCCATGTAAACATCTTCACAAATTCCCTTTCATGAGCTTCATTTAACCTTCACAATCTACAAACATTCTGATCTTCTTTAACTTTTTCCCTGCCTTTCACTTTCTTAAACAACCAGTCTGTTTAAGGACAAATTTATCACACAAGATTCTTTCCTTGCACAATGCCATTTTCCTTTCTGTCTAATTTCTCTTACTTCCAAAAACTTACTTTTCACAAAACAGGATCACAATTTACCATGAAGTTAGTCATTCACTCAGCCAGACTGCTAATCAGAAAGTTTAAAAGGCAAGAATCTTATTCTTTGACAAAGACTCAGCTTTACCAATAATTTAAACAACCAAATTATGACAGTTTACAAATGAGAAATGAGAGACATTTTATGAACTATAACATTGATACAGGATTTTCCCACTCAAGGCTGGACAGGGAACCCCTATTTTTCAGGCTCAGGTGAGCTCAGACATCAGACTCCCATATCCAGGCACAAACACAGTGCAAGTCACACTTTCTGAGGAATAAACCAGTTCTAAACCTTTTGGACGACTTCACCTGAGTAGGAAGCACACACTCTAATTACTTTTCCAGATAAAAACTGCAAAGAGGCTCGGCACCTGTGGCTCAAACAGCTAAGGCGCCAGCCACATACACTTGAGCTGGCAGGTTCAAATCCAGCCTGGGCCCGCCAAACAATGACAGCTGCAACCAAAAAATAGCTGGGCATTGTGGCAGGTGCCTGTAATCCCAGCTACTTGGGAGGTGGAGGCAGGAGAAGGGCTTGAGCCCAGGAGTCGGAGGTGGCTGTGAGCTGTCATGCCACAGCACTCTACCCAGCATGACAGCTTGAGGCTCTGTCTCAAAAAAAAAAAAAAACTGCAAAGATCTAATAACCTTGTCCAAGGTGTGGGGCTGTGTTCATTCATGTGCTAGAATACCCATTCAGTTTTTAAAAATATTTTTCCATTTGTCAAGTTGTGGCTACAATATCTCTCAGGGCCAATTATTTACCCCTAGACAGAGGACTCATGCAGGAGACCTCTAACTTGGGCCTCCTCCCCCTGCCAGAGGCTGTTTACCTTGGCGACCTGCTGCAGATATGAGTACAGTCCTGTCTGGCACAAGATTTACACTCTCTCTCCCAGATTTCCAAGGGCCATCCAGAGCTCACCAGACTGCCCAAAACCACAACACCTTCCAAGGCATGGCCCTTTTGCCCATAGCTCTAGCACTCTCCACTCCCTCTGCATGTCCTGCAGTTCAACAAAATTTCAGTCAGTTTCTAAGCACTCACATACACACATTCCAACCCATTTCTTAATCTGGGCAGCCTTGATTTTTTCACTGGAATTACTACTTAGCCATAGGATGCAAATTAACACACACTTAGGTTTTTTTAGTTATATTATATTCACACACTCTCATACAATTTTTAGCAGGCCTGTGGGTGATCGAACACCCCAGGGGGTTGATTGGACCCCCCACTTTCATTCCAATGGTGTTTCTGGTGATGGGTGTTGATACACATTTCTGAGAGCCCCTGACAGGCCAGTAGGGCTGAGGCTTCTCACCGGTTGAGTCGTTCTACCAACACACACCTCCAAGAGCTTCTGACAGGCCAATAGCCCAACAACTTGGGGTCCCTGTCCAAAGTTCCTATCTCTTTGGCCTTCCCTTGGAGGTTCCTAAGGGCTTTACACAAATTATGACAAATGAATTCAACAAACAGTTACATGTCTTCACAGCAATCCACAAACACATAAGCACAACAAAAATACCACCAATAGTTATACTAACATCTGCCGACACTAGCCAAAAATAAATATTAAAGTGGCTTACCTCCGGAGGCAGACTCACAGGTGAATTTTGGAGTGATCATCAGCTGGTCTCCTGAGAGATCTGGGTCCTCCAGGGGCCCTGGGCTGTTTCCAGGAGGTGCCTCCCCTCAGAGTGACCACAGCCTGTCCCTCTCATGGAGGCTGACTGAGGATCAGAATACGAGCCAGACAGAGTAATGCCAGTTTAGAAAGAAAAAGCAGCTGCTATTTTAAAAAAATATCTTGTTTTATTCTTTAGTTCTAAATGAGTAATTGACATTGGGTCTTCTGCTCAGTGCCGCACCTTATCTCAAGGCTATTCATAATATAGCAACTACAGCTTTTAGCAGGCAAAAAGATAGGAAAACAGTTTTAACAAACTTTGTATTAACTCTTTAATTGCCGGGAAAGAGAGGCTCCCAAACATAGGTGGGTCCTTTACACCACAGTGTCAAGATAAAAACTGAGCAAGGGCCATGTAAGAAGGATAGAAGCCAGTAAGGGCAACTCGCTGCCAAGCAGAGCAAGATTCCAGAGCAACACTGTACAGTAAAGTACAACTCCCACCCAGAAAGTGATGTCAAAGGCAGTGGGAGACATAGGAGACATGAGAGAAAGAAGGTAAAAGACTAGTTTTTGCAAACTGACAGAACAGACAAGGGCCCAATATGAAGATTCAGGCATAAAGAAACACAAATCACACTCCATGCAGATGCCTGTGCAGGCCCACTCGGACTCCATGACCACGTGGGCCATGGAATCACATCCAGACTCACTCACTCTCTTATGCAGCAACCCGAAACCTAAGGACCTGGTTGGCCACTCCAACACAGATCCAGATCTGGCCAGCCACTCCGGCACAGATCCAAACACAAGTTCCCAGTGTCATCTCAGGGGAATTGGCCCCCTGGGGTGTAGCTGCATCCAGCCCCCAAGAGTGAATCCCAACAAACTTACCAGTAAAAACAGAAACCAGAATCAGATGACTCCATTAAGGTGCCCAAATTTAGTCTATTAATTTGGCAGGTTGGGGTAGGGACACAGAGTTGGCTTATCACCCAGGGCTGAGGAATATCTCTCCGTGGCCATCCCCTAGGTGAAATCCAGCTTATGTGCCCTACCCACAACCAGTGGCCATAGCCTAGGTCAAAACCCAGGGATCTCGCTTGGGCCTCTGAATGTTATAGGGCAAGTCAAGTGACCACCAAGCAAATAATCTTTAAAATGCCAATAAGGAGCCTTTATTTAGACCGCGGCTGGCCACCCTCTTAAGTGAGGAGAGCAGCCATCACCAGGGTTAATGCACAGCTTTTACAGGTTGGATGGCACAGCAAGCAAGCCGCTGGACTCCACAACCGGCACACACAGACGGCACTGGCAGTTACTTGGTTAAGCAAAACAACAGCTAGATACAAAAACCTTTATAACATCAGTGGGGTCAGCATGATCTTATCCTGTCTGCATTGACCATGAAGTCAGCAAGGCCTGTCTTGAGTGTTCCCAAGGCCTCAATCTTCCCTTCTTTGTTTCTTGTTGGGAAGGGGAAGCTGGGGGGAGAATTCGGGAGCCTCCTGCAGGTATCAAGCCCTTTCTCCCACCTAAGCACCACCTTAGAGTTCCATGGAGCCAGTCTCACTCCCAGAAACCTCAAACTCCTGGGCTCAAGCAATTCTCCTACCTCAGCCTCCTGAGTAGCTAGGACTACAGGCACCCAGCACAATACCCAGCTGGTTTTTCTGTTTTTAGTAGAGACAGGGTCTTGCTTTTGCTCAGGCTGGTCTTGAACTCCTGAGCTCAAGGCATCTGCCTTCCTCGGCCTTTCAGAGAGCTTGGATTACATGTGCCAGCCTATTTATTTATTCATTTGATTTTGTGTGTCCCCAGCCAAAATGAAGGACATGGGAAACACTGTCTCCTTGCCTTCTGTGTCCGCAGAACTCAGACTATGCCTGACACAGAGTGTGCTTAATAGATACTAAGAGAGAGAAACAGGCAGACTGCAGAGACAGAGAGACACCAAGAGTGAGTAAGAGAGGAGAGGGGGGAGGGAGATGTGCACGGAATCAGGGTCCCCCCACCCTGCCACGTGCCCTGAACAAGGGAGTCTACTTCTCCCGACCTCCTTGTTGACAGAAAGTCCATCAGGCAAGGACACCAGGCCCTGTGTCCTCTCTGAGCTTCCATGTGCCCTGGGAAGACAGCTGCCACAAGACGTTGCTCTGGGGATGTCAGGTTCCCGCTCTGCTTGCCCATCCCAGGAGCCCCTTGGCACAGGCAGGACAGGAAAGAGACACCCAGCCTGGGATCCCCAGGGACAAAGCCATTCTCGGGCTGAGCTGCTAAGGCCTGGCTCTGGATACCCAACCTGCAGCCCCACGCCCGCTAAAGGCCCAGCTTACTGCCTCTTGGGATCTCTGGGGTGAGTGAGCTAAAGCAGAGAGACCCCATTTTCCAGGTGGGATGGGCTCCCTTCTGCACTCTGACCCCTGGGTCACACAGGGAGGACACAGAGGATAAAGGGAGGGCAGCCATAGAGCCCAGACCTGCTTTGGCAACAAAGGCAGATACACAAGTTCACCCCAACTCGTGTGTGCGGGCCAGGCCCAGAGGGTGGCACTCACGCTGGCAGGACAGCCTCTTCCCAGCATGACGTTTCCAAAGATACACGGATAAGATCAGCCTGCTGACTCCGGACTTTGCTCTCCCCTGGCACCAGCCAGCCCCGCACACCTCTTTCTCCACAGAGCCCGTCATGGGACACCTGGCCGTCCCACTCACTGTGGCTCTGGCCACCCTCCTGGCCACCGGGACCGGGGCACCTGTGCACAGGCAGGGCAACCGGCACAAGCTGCTCCTCGTGTCTTTTGATGGCTTCCGCTGGAACTACGACCAGGATGTGGACACCCCCCACCTGGACGCCATGGCTCGCGACGGGGTGAAAGCTCGGTACATGACGCCTGCCTTCGTCACCATGACCAGTCCCTGCCACTTCACCCTCGTCACTGGTGAGACACAGGGCCCTGCCCTGGCCCCAGATGGGATAAGGGGGGATAAGGGCCCTGCCCTTGCTCCAAGTTGAGGCCCTGCCCTCCACTCACTGGGAGGCAGCGCCCAGCTCCAGGACCAGGGGGGTCCACCCTACTGGTGACAACTGATGCAGGGCAAGCAAAGGTGAAAATGCCCAGCAGGGGATGTGGCCAGGGCCTTCGTGACGGTATCAGCTCCCACACCACCTGCTCCTCAGCCACCAGCTTCCCCCTCTCCCTCAACCCTTCCCAATCCCAGACAGCTGCCCAGGCTGCAGGCTGTGGAGATGTGGGCTTTTAAAAGCCAAGTAGCACCAGAGGGTGCTGGGGAGTAAGATGGGATCCTGCCCCTCCCCAGGGACACCACTTTCTGTGCATCCTTCAAAGACACTGAGTGTCCTGGGGCTGCCACGACAAAGGACCACACAGACAGCTGAAAACCCAGACACTGAGGCTTGGGGCCAGATGCCCAAATCTAGGCCTGCAGGGCCTTACCCCTCGAAGGCTCTCTGGGGCCTTCCTGCCTATTCCAGCTTATGGTTCGTTCCTTGGCTTGCAGCTGCATCGCTAGGACCTCTGCCTTCACCCAGCCTTCTCCCCGTGTCTGTGTCTAAATTGCCCACTTCTCAGGAAGACATCAGGCACTGGATTTGGAGGCCCCACTTCCGTGTGACCTCATCTCACTCTAACTAACCACCCTGCAGAGACCATTTCCCAACAAGGCCACATTCTGAGGGTCCAAATAGGTGTGCATTTGGGGCCACTGTTTACCCCGCACAAGCAGCTCAGCCTCACACCAGCACTTCACAGCCATGGCCCCTCTGCATGCACGTGGGGGCACACGGTCCTCCCTGCCACACTTGGCTGCTTTGACTTTCCACATCCATGGGGGAAGGGGACACAGTCTGCTCCGAGCCTCCTTTTGTACCTTTTGAACTTAGTGCCAAGTGCGCACAATTCTTGAGCAAGAATAAATTCTAAGAATAGCTCAGGGCGCTCCACACGGGTTGTAGGAACCCTGCGTAAGATTTCATGTGACAGATGGGCCGTGATTTACTTGATCAGCTCCTCCCAGGGGCCGTTCAGGTCACCCCCAATCTTCTGCTAAAGCTGCAGAGGCTGCAGCCAGGACCCTTGCACGAGTCCGTGTGCCCATGTGCACACTTAACTGCAGGAAAATTCAAAGGTGGGAGCAGCATTGCCGGCTGAAAGAACACACAAACCTGGGCTGCCCCCAGGCTGCATGTGGGATGCCTGCCCACCCCAGCCCCAGCCAGCCTCCCCACCCACAGCATCGGGTATCTGCCTGCTGCCTGTGCCTCTTCCATCCCTGCATCCCAACACGGCTGCAGCCCCAGTGCCTGTGCCTCTCCCTCCCACAGGCAAATACATTGAGAACCACGGGGTGGTCCACAACATGTTCTACAACACCACCACCAAGGTGAAACTTCCCTACCATGCCACGCTGGGCATCGAGAGGTGGTGGGACAACGGCAGCGTGCCCATCTGGGTCACCGCCCAGAGGCAGGTAATGCTGGCCCAGCCACAGGCACCTCCTGACCTGGCACAGAAGCGTATGAAGTAGGGTGTTTGGAAAGGTAGGCAGTGCGCACAGGTGGGGACTCTGCCCAGTCTTCCTTGGAGCCCTGAGACCAAGAGGGATTGCTCTGTCCTCCCAAATGGAGGAGAGCTGAACCCCTGAACCCTCCAACACAGGGAAGTCCACTGTCACCCAACAAGGAAGTATTTAATGGCCAGGTGTGGGGACTCCACCTATAATCCCAGCACTCTGGGAGGCTGAGGAGGGAGGATCCCTTGAGCTCAGGTGTTTAATACCAGCCTGAGCAAAAGTGAGACCCCATCTCCACTAAAAATATAAAAATTAGCTAGGCATTATGGCAGGTACCTGTAGTCCCAGCTACTTGGGAGGCTGAGACAAGAGGATCACTTGAGCCCAGGAGTTGGAGGTTGCAGTGAGCTGTGATGGTGCTACTGCACTCTAGCCCAGGTGACAGGATGAAACTCTGTCTCAGAAAAAAAAGGATGTATTTAACAATAAAATGACTCTCCCACACACCTCTCAGGCTGGAAAGCTCCATTCTCAGGGCCAAAGATAAAATAAGGGTGGGTAAGAGGGTTGAACCCAGGAATCCCCCAATTTGTGATCCTCTAGGGCAGTGGTTCTCAGCCTGTGGGTCGCGACCCACAGGAGCTGTATTAAAGGGCCGTGGCATTAGGAAGGTTGAGAGCCACTGCTCCAGGGCTTCCTGGCCTGGAAGTGAGACTTTTAGTCATCAAAGTCAAGGTGGAGGTTTCTGAGAAGAACCTGAAATAAACGCTGGAACCTACACCCACCTTACAGCCAATGTATCCACCCAAGTATGATTCCCCATGATCCCCAAGCATCTGTACTCACTCAGGGCCCCATCTACCAGGCTCCAGAGCAGGAAACCAAAGTGGTCAGGGTGTCCAAACCAATGGAAGAATGGCCCGGGGAGTGGGTGGGTGGGTAGGACAGGTGTAGACAGAGGACTGGTAGGACAGATGGAGTCTAAATAAGACACTGACTGATTTATGGATGGATGACCAGACAGGAATATGGACAGACATCCAAGAGGAGTTGCTGCTCATCTGGGATGGTTTTATGTCCCTTGTCTGTCAGGGCTTGGGACTGGCCAGGTCTCGGGCTCAGCTTAGGTGGGTTCTGTATGTGGACGGCTAAGCTACTTTGCTCAGGAACAGTTTCTCTTAGGTGCCTGAGGGCTGTCTACTCAGAGAGAGAGAGTTTGTCTTAGAGAGAGTAAAGCAGTCTTCTTAGAAAGACAGATCTTAGTCTTTAGCAGAGCTTGGTAATCTTCAGCAGAGAGATGCCGTGCTGGCCTTCTGCAGGCAGGGGAGGAGACAGAGTCAGAGTAAGCGGGTCAGTGATAGAATGCACATGCTCCCGACTGCCTTCTCCTCCAGCCTAATATAAGGCTGATCTCGTGCTTCTCAACACCACAAGTGTAGAGACTGCCAATTTACCACTGCTCTCATCTCGCAGGCTCTCATGCTTGTTAGGAGAGCTAAATCTCACTCCATGCCCTTTCCACCAAGGTGTTCCATTACAGGTATTTCTTATAACTCTCACTCCACCTAGCCATAGGCTATACGGGCTGCTACACTTGTCTTGTTAGCACCTGAGTCTACTGGGTGCCTGTTGTCTCCTCTATAAAATTGGTTTGCCCCTTTAGTCTGAGAAATGTTTCAGAAGACAAAAGCCCCGTGACCACAAGAAAGAAGGGGGTGCGGAGTGCAAGTGCTCCCAGGAATGGGCTGAGGGCATCGGCCAAGGAGGTTACAGAGGCCCTGACACTGTCCCATCCTGGCAGGGTCTAAAGACCGGCTCCTTCTTCTACCCCGGGGGAAATGTCACCTACCAAGGGGTGGCCCTGACGCTGAGTCGGAAGGAAGGCATCCTGCACAACTATAAAAATGAAACAGAGTGGAGGGCAAACATTGACACCGTGATGCTCTGGTTCACAGAGGAGGACCTGGATCTGGTAACACTCTACTTTGGGGAGCCGGACTCCACAGGCCACAAGTATGGCCCCGAGACCCAGGAGAGGAAGGAGATGGTGCAGCAGGTGGACAGGACTGTGGGCTACCTCCGGGACAGCATCGAGCGCAACCACCTCTCGAGTGTCCTCAACCTGATCATCGCGTCCGACCATGGCATGACAACCGTCTATAGGAATGCCAGTGACCTGGTCGAGTTCCACAAGTTCCCCAACTTCACCTTCCGGGACATTGAGTTTGAACTCCTTGACTACGGGCCAAACGGGATGCTGCTCCCCAAAGCAGGGATGCTGGACAAGGTGTATGATGCCCTCAAGGACGCCCACCCCAAGCTCCATGTGTACAAGAAGGAGTCATTCCCCGCATCCTTCCACTATGCCAACAACCCCAGGATCACGCCCCTGCTGATGTACAGTGACCCTGGCTATGTCATCAATGGGGTGAGTCGCCTGGTGGATGCACAGCTTAAGGGGGGATCCTTCCGTTTCTATAAGTAGCATCCCCTGTTCCCAGCTAGTCCTGAATGTGAAGAGCGTCCAGCGTGGGGCAGGACACAGCCATCACCACGTGATGGGGTGTACACTTAGCACAAGGTACGGGAAGTCCAGATGTGAGGGTGACACAGGAAAGGCAGGAGGGAGTGGGGAGCCTGCTCTTCCCTCCACAGAGAACCCAGGGGTGCTGATGGGAAGCAAGCCCAGATGAGGCAGAAGAGGTCCCCAGAAAAGGAGTGGCCCGCGATGCAGCACGATGGAGCGGGCCTGGCCTCAGACTGTCTGCTCAGTCCCATTTGCTCAGGGGCTCCATTTATTTCCAAGCCTCTCTGTTTGGGGGCTCAGAATTCAGAGAAACTGAGTCTCAGAATCCACTCCCACACTGGAAGTTCTCCCTAAGATGCTCTGTCCTGGAGATCTCTCCCCCAAGGGCGCTGATGGGGAGAGCAGGGTGGGTGGGAGGGCTGGTTGCTCCCAGCCAGGCCCTCAGACCCTGGCCCCCTCCCCGGCAGAGAATTAACGTCCAGTTCAACAAAGGCGAGCATGGCTTTGACAACAGGGACATGAACATGAAGACCATCTTCCGGGCCATGGGCCCCAGCTTCAAGTCAGGCCTGGAGGTGGAGCCCTTTGAGAGTGTCCACGTGTATGAGCTCATGTGCCATCTGCTGGGCATCAAGCCCGAGCCCAACGACGGGCATCTCAGCACCCTGCTGCCCATGCTGCACTCAGGTGGGGCCAGCCAGTCCCTTCTCCCTGGCTTCTGGGGACAACCAGAGCCCCTCCCTGACCACCCAAGAGCACCTGTGTGTCTGGGGCAGTGCCGGGGGAGGGCAGGCTGCCCTGGGAAGCCACCTCCTGGCTTCCAGATGGACATAGCTCCCTCTCTCTCCACCACGGCCACCTAAAGTTCTCCTTCCTGACACATCCAGGAGGCAAAGGTCACCTGGGTCCTGGCTGGAGAGGGGTAACCCTACTAGACAGGGCGGTGAGGGGCCATGGTGGACAAGGGCAGTAAGACTGAGAGGTGGTGGGAGAAGTCAGGGGCTCAGAGGGAGAGCCGGGGCTTTCCTGGTCTGCCAGGGAGGCGCCAGGGTTAGACGCTGCCCTGCCTCAGGGGTCTCCTGGCTTTCCTCAGAGCCTAATCCCCTGCCCAGTGGAGCATCGACTCACCTGCCCAGCGGAGCATCCACTGTCCCGCCCAGCGGAGCATCCACTGTCCTACCCAGCGGAGCATCCACTCACCTGCCCAGCCACCAGACCCCGTTGGTGACAGGACTGCTGGGGGCTGTGATTCTTCTGGCCAACATCACATAAGACCTCCCCACTCAAGGTCAGAGCTCCAGAAGGCGGAGGAGGGGAAGGGGGTGCCATGCTCCCTGTTCCTCCACCCTGACACCCCCATTACAGACCTAGGCAACTACAATAGGGCTGCCAGTCCCCACCAGGCCAGTGGCTCCAACTGGCCTGGACACCACCAAGAGGTGGGGCGCTCAAGGCAGACCCCCTTCTAGCCTCTCTGCTTTAGGCTTGGAGGGGCCCTTCCAAACCCGACAGCTGAGACACACCTGGACAATCACACCCTCCCCCCAGCCCCCCACAATCAGAACCCTCCTCAGCCTCTCGCTGGACTCGCAGCCTCCTCCCCACCCCACACCCGCTGCCCACCACAGTCTCTGTGCTCCACTGGGGACAACCTGGAAGCCCTTGCTTGGGGTATTTGTGCTCCTGCCAGGCAGTGCTCCTGGAACACCCAGAGCCAGTCTCCAGGGACCTTCCAGCTGCAACTGATAGGCATCTCTTCCTTGTTTTCCATCAGTGTAGTCAGAGTTCTGTGGCCAAGACAGAAGAAAGTCATTCATTCATTCTGAGGACACACAGTGGGAGCCACCTCTGTGTCAGGCTCTGGTCTGGGCTCAGGGACACCAGTAAACAAGACAGCCCAGACTCTAAAGTTAGTCATTCAGGGGAAGTCAGCAAATACCGAGTGGAGAGTCAGCTTACAACACAGCTCAGATGGTGGCAGAAAACAGCCCAAGCCATGTGCAGAGATGGGGCAGGGGCTACTTTTTAGGTCGCCTGACCTGGAACGGCCTCTCTGAGCAGGCAGATTTAGAGTGGGACCTGAATGGTGAGAATTGGCAACCACAAGTCAGGCTCAGGCAGAAGAAGAGTCTGGCCCAGGGAAGAGCCAGTGACAGGCCCCAGGGTGAGACGAGGTTAGCCACGTGTCCTGAGGAGACAGGGAATGGTATGTGGAGGCTGATAAGCCAGGACAGACAGAACATGAGTCACCACGGACGGAGGCAGGAGGTTGTTTTACACGCAGCAGGAGCCCTGGGTGAGGCACACAGGGTCTGACATAGAGCATCAAGTGTGGGTTCTGACCACAGGGCAGCAGCGCGGAAGTGGGAGCAGTTGGTGCCAGCCAGGAGGTAGCTGCAGGGGCCCAGGCAGAACATTCCAGTGGTGGGGTGGGGACAGTGGAAAGGGGATGGATTTGGGGATTAGTGAAGTGGGACTGGTGAAGAAACTGAAAAGGAACACGGGTGTGAGGCTCAGGTCCTGAGAACCCTGATAAAGAGCTGGCCACTTCCTGAGACACGACAGTGTCGACAGTGTCGGGGATGGGAGCTCCATTTCCGCTGTGTCTTTGACACCTGCAGAGCATCCCCATGGAGCAAGTACTGGGCACCAGGGGTTCTGGCTGGCAATTTAAATTTGAGACCTATTGACATACTGATGGCTCTCAAGCCGTGGGACCAGATGGGAGCCCCTGGCTGGAGAGTGAAGTCCAAGGAGAGAGATGACCACACCACTCTCTGGAGAAGCTGAGGCTGGTTTGATGAGGGACGCCCAGGGCTTGTCCTGTCTCTGGGGTCAGAGGGAAGAATGTGTTTTGAGGAGGAACATGGAGATCTGTGTGTCAGGGAGGGACCATTCACAACCTAATGTCAGAGCAAGAAGGGACCCAAAAGACACTTTGCCCCCCCTTCACACAGACCAGGATGCTGGGACCCAGAGACTTCAGCTGACTAGTCCCAGCCTACCGAAGACTGGTAGAGCTATGGCCAAGTGCTGGCCTTCCAATGCCTAGCCCCAGGTGCTTCTGGCTACAACACCAGCCCCTCTGTGTTTGAAGCCAGTCTTCTGGGACACATCAGGGACATAATTAGAGGTCCGTAGCACTAGCCCACGACCATTGCTCTCTGCATAAACTGAGTGTGCTCAACACCTCAGCCTTCACGTGGGAGGAAATGGAAAAGGAGAGATTCGTGTCATGGTCTTCCCTGAGGGATAGCAACAGTGGTGAGCTAGCTGAGCACTTCTCCAGACCCACAGAGGGTCAGGAATTCCCGCAGGGACCCCTCGCAGCCCCTGGGCCCGCCCTC